ATGTTCTAGTAGGGTTTAGAATGTTAAGATATAAGCTTTATAAATCTATAATTAGTGGCATTTTTGTAAATAGATACCCTAAATGGCATTCTTGCAAATATACACATAAAAAGTAGTATTTTTGTAATTGTCCTTATAAATTTCTATTTTTTACTGTATTTTAATTTTAATTAATAAAATAAAATTATTTTTATTTTTGGAAAAGAATCTATGAGGTTTCTCGAGTCTTCCATAATTCATTCCAATAAGCTGTATCTGACAATTGCCACTCTCTTTCTTCTTCATCTATAAAAATCCATCGATTTTTCCTTCGTTGTCTCCTCAAATCTCACCTGTTCTTAATTCTCGACCTCCTTACTCGCCTCATCTTCAGGTAAATGTTTCTCTTCTTTTCTTTGTTTGAATCGTTCTCCTTATTATTATAGATCTAAAATTCGCATGGTCAATTGATTCACCTTCTGATTCTTCCTTTTGGTGGATTTTTTGCTGTGGTATATGTTTCCAGGGAATCTCTCTGTCTTCTTGTCTGGTCTCTCTGTCTCTGTGTGTCTGGTCACCGACAATGGCACATATCCTTTCTGGATCTGTTCATTTACATTTTCTTACATATTGTAGTTTTATTTAAAGAATTGAATGAAGAAAAAGTAGGAGAAATCTTTAGATTTTTTTTGTTATTTGTGTGATATTTGTTTGGCTTTAATTGAAGCAAACGCGGAAACCAGAGAGAACGTGATCGTGAAAGAGCTCAAGCAAGAGGTAATCACAAGCCTAAGCAACCTAAGAACGATGGATTAACCCCTGAACAACGTCGCGAGAGGTATACATAAATCTCTAACTATAGCCTTCTTGAAATAGATCTCTTGTTCTTAGTGTATCTTGGTCCAAGATAAGCATAAGAGGAGAAAACATGGATTAGGCTTATGGAATCAGTAAGCCTTACAAACAGAAATGATATTCTTATAAAAAAAGAAATGATGTTCTTGGTGAAAATTGCTGAGGCCTTAGGGTTATGGAATCAAAAGCTGTTGAATAATCTTAGATTGTGGGGTTGGAATTATCGGTTTTGTGTTCCGGAAATGTTGATAGATAGATGGATGATTTGTTTTGTTTCTTATGGGTGTAGGGACGCGAGAGCGTTGCAAGAGAAGGCGGCTAGAAAGGCAGGACAGTCGATGGGAGGAGGGAAGCACGACCATTTCCTTAGCGTTGGAGGTAAAATCAAGAAATAAGAGGTGTCGTTACGGTCGATAATTTACATTAGGGGTTTTTGGGGGGACATTTGGAGGTATATATTGTTGATCGTGGTGCGAGGATTGAAAGAGTTTGTGTTTAAGTCTTCAAGTGTTAAGTATCTTGGCATATGATGTTTGGCTTTTGAACTTTTTGTTATAACTCTGTTTTTTTTCGAATGGAATGTGTTCCCTTGTTCCTTTCCTCTTACGTAAAATCCAAGCAAGAGGCATTTTTATGGCAGTATCATTTATCAAAGCTCCATAGCTTAATTGTAAAAACACTAAAGTAGTATTGTTCATTAATCTAGTAAAAAAAAGCAAAAGGTCAGTAAGGAAGGCCAAGTCTAACAGGACTTAAAAGGTGAAGCAATTAGATCCATTAAGAAGCGGCTCACTCTTTGGATCAAAAGCTTCTAGAAGAATAAGAAGAGCTACGTCAGCTGGAGGATTGCACATGGGGAAGACACACCGATCTTCTATATTAGCAATTGGTATGTTTCGTTTTGGTATCAAGTTATTTGTTCAAAAATTGTTATAGGAGAAAAGAGGCTTCTTGAATATCTCGGCTTGTAAACTCTTTTGGATTTATGAGAAATAAAGTAGTTCTTACAAATTCATTAGGTTTACATTCTAGAACCGTGTGCTGGAGCAATTCTCGGCAAGCCCATAAACGAGCTA